AATAAATAAATAAATAAATAAATAAATAAATAAATAAATAAATAATAAAGTTACACTGTAGAGATTGATGTGTTGATGTTGTGTCTGAAAAAAGCAGCAGCATAATGACATAAATGGAAGTGTAAATACATTTGATTGATGTAACACCACTGGGCACTGGGAGTTAGGCTTACATTATTTCTTTAGGGTCCAGTGGCATCATTATTCATAGCTGTGTGGGGGCAGCTTTCCTCCACAGGTACAGCATCAATTCCTGCAAAGGCTTTGAAGAGTTCTTGAGAGATGAATCACTTAAAATGCAATAATCTTGATGCTGCACCATGAATATGTATTTGCAAAAACAAAGTGAGTAAATAAAAAACAGCATCTCGAGGCTGCCTTGTTTTTTTTTTCACTGTGTGTCCCTTTAGCATTGTGTCTGCAAAGCAAAAAGCTTGATTTAATTGATTTGTTTTTTTTAAACATTGGTGCTTCTGTTTTGATAGAGTGCCGTGATGTGTTGTTACCCATGATGCTGCGGGAACTGAGTGGGGCTCTGGTCAGTATGGCTGACGGTCTGCACGACGAGAGGAGAAACAGTTTGGAGCTTCTCAACAACATTTTGGAGGTCCTCAGCAGGAAAAACGTGGTAAGATATAGAACTTTAAAATAAAAGACAGTGAGAGTGTCTCCTGTACACTGAGAACATAGTGTCTTCTGATTCATCTGTCCACTTGCAAATACAACAAAAGATAAATTCCCAGTTTAGTGTGAACGCCTGCTGTGAAATCTATTTGATAATGTTTCAGCTTGTAACAGAAGTCCACCCCACAGGTTTGCCTGAGGCAAGGTTTTTTAAGTGTTTTTATTTCAAGATTGTCACTTCATGTTCTTGCCACTTTTTGTGTAGTTCATTCCAGTCTGTTATTAGTAATAACACTCTTTTGTAGGTTCCACCAGTAACCGAACAGTTAATATTTATCCCCCACCCCACCAGTAAAGTCAGGTGTCTATCAGGCTCGCTGGAGGTTTTGGACTCAAAATGCCTATGGAGGTGAAAAGACCTAAAACTAAACTTATTTATTACCCAAGCAGTGTTTATAGATAGACGGGAAAGAAGACCTCAAACAAAAATAGGCAAATGAAAAGATAAAAAGCGTGAATAGTTAAAGAAAACAGAACTTAAAAACAGTTGTGTTGGATGTTAGCAAGTTCCACTCAACTGAACTAAGTTTAACACATTTACTTTACCTTCACTCATAAACTAAATATAAAAATTGCTTTACATTTACTAAATCCAGTTGAGTGGAACCTGTTGACGTAATTTAAGTAAATCCAACCCATTAGTTTTTTGAGTGAGTCACAAATACCTTCCTTTTACAGAGTGAAATAAAAGGATTTATCATGAATATGTAATTTCTGCTTCCGGTTGGTAAGCACTGAAGTAGCCCTTAAATACTTTTATTATCAAACCTCATACAGTTTCCACCCCACCGTGAAAGGATAACTCCGCCCCAAGGCAAATGTGAAAAATGCCTACAAAGTGGGTAGTGCCGGGAGACTCTGAGGGGCACGTAAAGTGAGAGGGGTGGACGAGGAAGTGTGACCAGGACGAGACAAAGTTTTTTTAAGACACGACATTGTGACAGCTAGCTTTAACTTACTTTGACAAGCTAACATTCCTTAAAACATTTCTGAATGTTCTAAATAAATGACCGTAAAAAATAAAGTTTCATGATATAAATGCAAACTTACATTTAGCTGTTACAGCATAAACAAACTGTTAAAATATGACTTTGGTCCACCCCGGTCAATCCACCCCAGACAGAAGCATCAATCCACCCCGGACAGCAGAGATGGGCGGCGTGATGTGAAAAATCCATCCGCTGCAGAGGCTCTATTTTAACTGAGCCTCTGGTTCTCTTGCAGTGTGGGGCATCAGTCATAACAAACTAAATTAACTATTCTTTGTGGTTAAACATACATTTTTTTAAAGTTGCTGTGTCACGAGTTTAGACCAGGAAGTAAAAAAAAACTACAGCCATCCGAATACAACCGGACATATTTTAAATACTGTTTAATGTGATCCCGTTTTAATTTAATCCTCACAGCTTTAAAATGTTCCTAAGTTTATAACGATCTCAGCACTTTTAGTCTTTGTGTGGACACTGGATGTTCTGACATGGAGAAACCTGCAGAGCAGCGAGTGTCCGGTTCAGTCCATGTCCGTTGACAGCAGGAGGACCGCAGCAAGAGCTGTAACTGTCCAGTTCTGTAACTTCTGTTCTTTAAAGTATAACTATCTAAAAAAAATAATAATAATAAAAAGTTGAGTAGGTCACCTTAAAAAATGCTTCATCTTTCCTCCAAGAGATTTCTTCAGTCTGAGGAGTTTCAGGTAAACTTGGTTTTATTAGCAGCACCTCTACATGGTTGACAAACAAGTTAGCAATGACAATCAAAACTGTTTGTTCACATGAAATAGAGGATCATCAGCCTAACAATAGATTGTTATGGCCTTGATTGTCCCTATTGTTCACAGAGGGCTGAGTCATACTTCCAAAAACAGCATTGTAAGAGGGGGACAATTGGACATGGAGACCTCCACCCCTGTTTAATGATGGGAGTCCTTTACTCCCCTCTCAAACCTCACACAGTTTTATTTTCTTTTTCTTATCCTCCATATGCACAAAAAGCAGGTACCCTTGACCAGCTATGTGATTTTCTTTCATACACACATTTCTTTTAAACAAAAATGAAGTTTGCTCCTGAGCTAAACATCTTTASTGGAAGCACACACACTTGCATGCTAAACAAATACATCACCAGCATCAGGCTGAGGGCTTTTTAATTGCCTGTGCAAGTTGAAGACAGCCTGCTTAGTCTTTGAAGTGAAGGTTTGGCCRTTTTTTGGCTCCATTTATTTGAATATACTAATGAAGCATAAGCCAAGAGAAGAGGCAGTGAAAGAAGAGAGCAAAGCAGTGATTAAACTGGAGTGGGGTAGTTGTGATGAGGTGAATTTACACCAGGTAGCAGGTAGTGGCAGTGTTAGACGGCTATGACAAGTAAAAAAACATAAGGATACAGAGACCGGGAGTGAGGATGAAAGTCGTCAGATGAATCATTTATCAATGCAAAACTCCAAACAAAGTCATTCCTCACTGAAAAATTTAAAGCCAACTATGTTGAATTGACTTTTAAAGCTGTCAAAAGACAAATGAACCACAGCAGAAAAAGGCTGGAGGAATGAACACTGCCTGAGGCAAAGCAAAGAGGATGAAAGCCTGAATGGAGAAGCAGAAAGTTAACAGTTAAACAGTGACAAAMTTGTTTATTTCAGAGGCATCCCTGTAGGTGAAAGGATTTTAGAATAGAAAAAAGAAAAACACAATACAGAGGCAAATGTAAGTGAAAAAATGCATAAGGAGGGGAGAAAAAGATAGACCATATCTGCTGCCTCCTCCCCTTCAGCCCATATTTCCTGTACCCTTCATTTTTCACCCTGCTCTTCTCTGGGCTCCGGGTGGTACCTGATTAAATTGTCACACCACAGATGTGCTCAATCCAAATAAATATTCAGAGAGAAAARCAAAGGCAGGAGATTACCTGAAAGACAGATGCACATGTCAATGGCAGTTTGTGTTGAATTTATAGGTGAYTTTGAAACAATGTGTGTTTGTTGTCAGGATGAGAGTGATGAAGTGAGGATGATGACAGAGAAAGACAGACATGGCTCGCTAGACCTTTCATACTTTTTTACTTTTTTCTTTCTAACCCCAGAACAAGAGGCTTGTTAGGGAAAAACAACAGCGTTTTGTCTGGAAAGTGGACAAAGAGCAGGTGGCAGCAACAGGGGGGCCAGAGACCAAACAATCTGTGTCAAGTCTGCCAGTTTCTGTCAGCCTTCTGTTCATTAAAAAAGTCTTGAATATCCAGACTAACTCCAATTTTTAAATACAAACATTTATCACTTTAAATGTAAGCTTGTGTGCAGAAGATGTTTTATGAAATTTTATAAGATGTAGTTTAGGTAATACCTTCCTTCTGGTCATGATTCAGTCGTCATTTTGCAAGAATCTATATGTAAATCAGCACCATATTAGTTTGCAGATGGGGTTTCTGTGCGGTTTCATCACAGAGGTGTGTGCAGGACCAGGAGGCTTAAAGCAGCGCCCATCTTGGTTTGTTTGGCAGAGACAAACTCCTCCGAATGAATGGCAAGGCAGTTAAAGACACGAAACACTAAAAAAGCTGGGTGGACATTTTTTTTATATTTTTTAGGGGGCTCATGAGGTTTGGATAAAAAAAAAAAAGAAGATGAATCCAGACGGTGAAGCGAGCAAAACGGTAGTTTTGATTTTCAATATAGTTGGCAAAACTTTTATTTAAACTTCCTGTGTTCCTTGTYAGTTGTGTTGTCATTGTTGTAAATTTTGCAAATCAGTGTTTTCTAACCTGGGCTGTGAAATAAAACAGGGAGCATTTTTAAAGTGTTTAAACCACAGTCTGCATTACTAATGTAGTGTTGAATTAAAATAAAGCAGAAACACATCATTAACACCAAAAATAGAAATACTGTCATGTTAATGATCAGAACAGCAAAATGTAGAAACAATAACAAATATCTGCTTTTTGACTCCCAGCTGGGTTTTAGCCTCGGGTATTTTGTGTTTAATCTCCGTGAGAAAAAAGTCTACTTAATAACTAAAAATATCTGCAAAATGATGATTATTGATTCTGTSTATGCATAATGGACCTCAAACTCATTTTTTCTCTTTGTTTTTTTTTTGTTTGTTTTTCTGGGAATTTTTAGCTTTTAAAGATGATTGAGTGGTCTGACTCTTACCTAAAAAAAGAAAAAAAATAGTATATAAAAAAAGAAGTCCCTCCTGCTGATCTGATGGCCGTCACAGAAACTCTTTCCAGGATACGAAAATACTTCCAGTGAGGCAGAAAGGATTGATGATTTCTTTAAGTTTACCAGCTGCATCCCAGTCTAACAGAATGTGTGTGTGAGGCAGTCTGAGGTGGAAAGAGTAAGCAAGATAGTGCACATAAACTCAGTTGTTTATCTTGTCTGTGCCCCAGGCGGTGAGTCCGTGCTCATAACGTGGTTTAATCATATCTTTCTAATTCTCTCCAGGCACTTCAAATCCCATCATTGCAGCACACACTTGCTCCCAAACCCCACTGATAAAGAACAAAAACTATATATATTTTTATCTTGCGTGTATTCATTTGTGACCCTCCTTCTTTTACTTCATTGATGATTATTCCAAACACAGATACTCGCAGATATAAAATCTCAAATGAGGGAAATAAAAAAAAGGAAGCTACAGTTAGACCCTACAGGTTTAACTGGTTCCTGTTCTTGAAATCTTATTGTTATAATAAAACAAATCTACACACATCTAGGTCAGATTCTGCTAACAAGCTTTTATACAAGCACATATAGCCCGCAGGAGAAAATACAAAAAAGTATATTTAGATGTGGAAGATGCTTCAGCGGTGAGTTATGAGCCCCAGGCTAATCAGCTTCGACTGACCAACCACACTGTGGGGCTGCTGCTTCTTCTGAACAGACCTCTCTGTAATATTACCAGCTTTGTATTTGCTTTTTAGACAAAACGTTGTCACATCAAATTTATAGCTCATTATGTGAGCTACATTTCACATTATCAGTCATTAAACAAAGTCTAACAACATTTTGTCATATATTTTACAAAGTTCAGTCTCACTGCAGTATTTATAAGAAACTATATAATTATAAATTTGACTATGATGATATAAACATGTAGATAAATGAAACTTCAAAATTTGCCTTATGCCAATAGGAGTTATTTTCAATATAATGCTGTATGTAAGAGTGAGTGCCTTGAAAAAATGTCYGAACCAAGCAAACTGCAGCTCAGAACTTTGGACCTGATAAACAGAGATGTCATGTTTGTGAATGATCCGAATCTTCTGAATGGCTCCTTACAACAAACAATAGGAACAGAGTTGCAGACAAGCCATTCTTTTTAATTTATCTTTTCACTCCTCAATAATTTTATATTTTTCCATTTTAACTACAGAGACAATTGCTCCTCCTGTGGGTGGAGCAGAGCAGCTCGGGGGGAAATCGAACGGCTCTTTTGAACAACTCTATAAAGCAAACCGCTTGCCAAGATCCAGATCCCTTCAAAAAACCTTTCATCCCATCTATACAGATTAACAAAAACATGTATAGTCCCTGTTTTGCTGTTTAACCATTGATATTTTATTCTTTGCCTGCTCCATCTGCACCATTCTTACTATGATCTCCAGATTCTAATAAGTGAAGCGTGGACACAGTCTTTCAAACTGCATGAGCAACATCTCTATGAACCAAGTCTTTGAGGGCATTTTTAAGCCAATGTGGCRTCTTTATGTTTTCTCAACAATATTTTTTCTTCATAAATTCATCTAACAAAATTCAAATGATGGTTTCTGTCCCAGACCAAAATATTTATGGTGTCCCTTTTCTCTGCAGGCAGGATTAGGACCCTCTATACTGATTGCTGACCTGAGTGTATTCTTGGTGCACCTAAACAAATCAAATCTGTAGAAATGTTATTTAATTATGAGTTTTATATTCTAAATGTAAAACAGCAACACGATTTTACACATTTTCCCCCACAGTTGAATAGTAGATAAATATTATGTGTCCCTCATAGATGGAAGAGAGGATGGATTATGTATTTTCTTATACCCACTTTTTTTGTGAAGGCAACCATGCAACAGAATACCCCCTTCCTCCTTTGTATCWCCCAAGATACAAATACCACCAGTCCTTAGGAGACTGTAAATCTTACAAGCAACTCTGGTCTTTGAATATTTGACACTCATTGCCCTGTTATTTACATAAATATGGGCAGTGTTCCCTCTAAATTCATGCATAAAATGTTGTTTAAATGTGGGCAAAAGCTATCAGAACAGAAAGAGATGCTTGCGGTGCAGTTTGAAGGTGCAAATCTCTTTATTGCAGGAGCTTTGTGAACTAGACAGATGTGTAAAGTCTGCTTTGCTCCTGCTTAGCATCTGCAGAAGCCTTACAATCCTTTTGTGAATCAGGGCCTCTATGTTTGGACTGCAGACCAAATTATTCTTGCTTCTCAAACTAAATCTGTCGAACAGACCGTGCACAATCTTTTGCAAGTGATTAGTTCAGACTTGTGTGTCCACAGATTCCAAACCTCACTAACCTTTCTGCCTGGTTGCTAAAGTAATGACGTAGGTGTGTCTCACACAGCTGTTCAGATCATCTTTAATCCAGCACCAAAGTCTTGCCGCAAGTTCAAGCTGTTGGTTTATTTTTGGAACTTGACCACAAACCGTCAAGGCCCACRTTGTCATCTCTAGCCCTCTGCCATTCGGAGCATTGATTCTGATCAGTAGTGCCAAAGATTAAGGTCGGCAGTGTAATGCTGTGTCACAATGGGAACAAGGCATTCTGGAGCAGCTATCATCCTAACAGAGGCCCATTTGTAGAGACCTGAATGAATCTGTTTCAAAACTTACATTTGATTTCATTGTTTGCTTTTTCTGACTTTAAAACCTTGTCAACAACAAATTCAATCTTTGAAATGCAGTAGTAAAAAAAGTGTGYGTGTGTGTGTGTGTGTGTGTGGTGGGGGGGATATTATGTATTTTCCAGACACAAAGTTCAATTCCACACCACAATCAACTACGTTATCTTCAAGTGATATAAAAATGCTGTATATATCATAAATTAATTTAACTTCACATTAAAGCCTATCTAAATGCCTTCAAACTGGCCTGAGTTTCTTTAAGAACCTCCTACCATTTCTGACATTCCCACTTCAGCCCATCATCACAACAATGCTTCATTCCATTTATAGCCTTTCACAGGAGTGTTGTATTCTGTTGTAAAAAAAAAAAAGACGCAACATTAGGTAATATCAGTTTTGGAAAATGGTAACTCAGGATACAGTTGAACCTTGCTTGAATGATCTCATGTCAGACCCGGAAAGTACGTTTTCTATAGAACCAGAGTGAGTAGAGAATCTTTTAAATGAMATTTCTGCTCAATATTATATCTCCCAGTCATCCTCTCATACATATACGTCTATGTTAAGCTAATTTTTGCAAATAAACTATAAATACAGATAATTATTTGCAATGAAATCATGCCTATTTTTTAGATATGTTTTGCAATGAAATCACAGTGATTTGTAAAGACATCCTGCTGCTAATCTGGTGAAGCTGTGTGGGGGACCCAAATAGTACCAAATGTACCCAAATAGTAGAGAACAAAACATTGGTAATCAAATTTTTTTGCAACTAAGTATTTTTGCAGCTGTCCACGCTGATGTGAAAGTTCTGAAGCTCAGTTTTGAGCTAACAAAGAAAACGTTTCAGATTCAGAAAACTATTTTCTTTCTTTACTAGTTTGATCTATCCTTTTTTCTAAAAGTTTGAGTCAAACTTCAGACTGTGCAAACTCTACACACTGGGGAGCTCTTTTAAGGGGAAAACAACGTTTCCAAATAAAACTGATAAGTGTTTGGTTTGATAAGAATAAATTCTGAGCTGTTCCTTAAAGCAGCGCTGTCATTCTGCCTGAGTGGAAGTGTTGTTCAGTGCATTGACATATTGAGAAAACCTAATGATATTTTTTTTGTTCTTCATCTTTTTTGCTGCTCCTTTTCTTCTTATTGTTCTTCTTGTTCTTCTTCTTCTTGTTCTTCTTTTTCTTCTTCTTCTTGTTCTTCTTGTTCTTCTTCTTCTTCTTGTTGTTCTTCTTCTTCTTCTTCTTCTTTTTCTTCTTCTTCACCACGCTCCTGTTGTCTGCATTTGTTTCTGTCAGGGGAAAACATTTCAACATATCCAAGACATTGTGGTGTCTCTGCTGCAGATCATCAACAAAACAGTCATCACAATGGGTCGAGAGCACGCTCTGATTGTAAGTACTATTATACCTTTGGATTGAGTTCTTGTTTATTTGATGAACGTCACAGAAACCTGTGATTCAAACATGTTATTACATTTCTTCCTAGTCCTTCACTATAATTTATCTGTTAATAGCATTTTTGTGTTGGCCTGTCTGGCATTCGGGGTCATTCTGAAACACAAAACATGTTGACAACAGCATATATTCTTTAAAATACATATTTTATTGCACATTCAATCAGAAGAGTGGGAGAGACGGGTTTTGTGGAAGTTAACTCACTGTTAAAGGAATTGCTCATAAAAATACTATGACAGGGCACTTTGGCTATGAAGTGGGTAATTACTAACTGTGGTGTCATCCAGGGTTTTAATTGTAAGCAACTTGTCAGCTGAAGAATGCTGAAATATTCCTCTTTTGAGATTAGTGTTTATGCCCTAAACTGCTTTGTGCAAATAATTTCAGTGTGARTAAAAATTGTGTTTGTATGTCTGTTAATGGGGAAAAATCCATTCAGAATATTTCATTTTAGTGTTATTACTTTTTGATCAGTACATGTTTTGTTACTCATGCTTTAAGTGTTTATTAGCAGTGTTTCATAACATCACTAAAATGACATTGAGATGTTCTAAAATTAGACACGGAGCTCAAAATAACGTTATGTCAAACGGTGGAAATTTGAAACTAAAATTTATGATTCAGTTGTAGTTTGATTGTATTTGTATTGGCAATGTGGCCTAAACACTGCAGGATCATTTATATATATATATATATATATATATATATATATAGAGAGAGAGAGAGAGAGAGAGAGAGAGAGAGAGAGAGAGAGAGAGAGAGGTTTTCACTGCAAATGAAGCAAAACTCATTTACTTGTTTACTCTGTTCGATTCTCTACATAAAAGCAGAAAAGCAGAGCAGTCTGTGGGAACTGTGAAAAAATAAATTGGGGAAATATCAGAAGTTAACTTTTAGTTATCCTGTCAATCACGCAGAATTCACTGGGGGGTCATTGGATTAAATTCTATGACAAACATAGATCTTTATACAGCATTAATACTGACCAATAAGCAACAAATTCATTAGATAAGTGATCCACCCCTAGTTTTACTTTGAACCACAGATATATGTGTTTGTTTGGAAGTAGTTCAGTTTTGGAAAAATGCCCACAAGCCTTTTTGTGCAAGTTGTGATTTGCCCGCATGTAAACTCCTTGAAAGAAAACTGAGCTAACAGCAAAACACTCTTGTTTTGGATGGCAATAGAGGAGAGAATCAATCACTCTGTCAGCCAAAGTTGACAGTTTTTTAATTATCTAACAGAGACAGTGAGTCTTTGATCAGCTGTCAATCACATTGTTTTATAGAGTATTTTTAATACATTTCTCCACTTTTGTGCATCAAAATGCTGTTGGTACACCGAGCGATCACTGTGTTTTCAGACAGGTCATCTGCTTGTTTTCTCCAAGAAGCCTCTGGAGCTTCAGTTGTTGCTACGTTCACATTTTGGCAGCAGACACACAGTAGTACTCTGAACAACAAACGTCACTGGACTTTGTAAATCATCACAAGCCCCCTGCTTATTGCTGTAACTTTGCCAAAGTCATTGTAAAAATTCTGCATCAAGTTGAGTCCATCTATTCAAACAGACACTTCCCAAAGTGATGAGCAATAAACCTGAAGTCGCAGTTCTTTTCCATTCATCTGCTACAGATTTGGTCTATAAAAACAAAAAAGCAGCATATTTACTTTCAGTTCCAAGTTAGTGAACAAAGTAGCTGAAAAAGTCTTTCTTTTGTAATGAAACAGGTTCTTCTGAATCTGAAAAGAAATTTCAGCAACTTCTTTGGYCCTCTTTCAATTCTTTTGTCCAATATCTTTGTCCTTATCCTGGTCAGCGTTGATTTTTTTCTACAGTAGAACATTTCAGATTCATTATAATCCATGTTTTTATGCATCTGTGGATCCAGTGTGGTGGTTGTGGCTTTTTAAATTTATTTTTGTCTTTTTAAAGCCACCAGAAACATTTTTTACGCAATTTCTTGACACGTGCTTTGGTGCTGGGACGACTGCAGGAAGAAGGAGCCGTCATGGGCTTGGTCAGAGTTGGTGCAGGCACATCGTATTCCCCATCAAGGGCTTCCATCACCCCCTGGAAGCGTCCCTCCTGCTGCCGAAAATCATGCTCCACACTGGGGGAAGACAGATTGATGACAGTTAAAGAGCAAGAAGACGAAAAATGAAGAAAAAAAATCACAATAAAATAGTCAGAGTGTATTAGAGGCTGGGTTGTTGTGAAGTCATTTCTCTTAAACAGCTCATTTCTTACTGAGAATAAAATTACATTTTGGAGATGGAAAGGGARATGATGAACAGGGTGATCATGAGAAAAGAGAGGAGTATGGAAAATGTAAGACGAGGATCCCTAAAGGGAGGTTTTTGTATGTTAAGTGAATTTAAAATCATATTGCACTTTTAACCTAAAATGCATGCACACACACACGCACACACTTTCACACAGACCTCAACTTAGCACTCATTTCACGTCCAGAGTATTCTTCTGCACTTCATGCACCAGTAGATCACAGACTGGTGAGATGAGAGGAGTAGAAGAATGAAAAGGAGAACTGAAAAAAAGAGAAGAGGGGCATTTTCACAATGGAGGAGCTATAGGAATGAGCAAAGGAGGAACTGTTTTTGCTCTTCAGAAATGTTCAAAGCAGACGCTCTCGGCTTTCTTYTTCTATGCTCTTATTTCACCGCCGGTCTCTCATCTCTCCCTTGCTCTTGCTCTTTCTCTGCAGCGTTCATCGCCGCGAGTCACATTGTAGCAGACTCTGACTTCTCACTCCGTTTTTTGGTAACGATGTGTTTGTGCGTGCGCGTGGGTGTGTGCTGAGCTGGATTAAAGGGGTGGAGCCGAACAGGGCTTGGCATCTGGAGGTAATGAGGCACATGATGAGGCAGGGAAAGCAGATACAACCACCCGTCCTTCCCTCCTCCCATAGCCCAGCATTCCAACACACATGCAGAAACACAGATTTGTTACCCTGCCGTCCTACAAGTGCAGCTCCTACAGCAGGCCCACAGCTAGGTAAGGAGGGGAAAGTGATGCCGGGGGATTTTTTAAAGGGGAATAAAGACAACATGTGAGAGAAGTAATGCTAGATAAATGMAATGGAGCAAATAGGCCATGGCAGAATGAAGGAGAAAAAGGAGAAGGAACACAGATATTGACAAGAGAGACCTCTTGGCTCTTTTAGAGGAAGAAAAAAGCAGTGATGGAGCGAGTACAAGGAAGAGGGAGTAGAAGTGGAAGTGAAAGCTCTGGTGGGCACGTTGGAAGCAAGATGGCTATCATAAATAAATGATACAAAGGACATTCTCATCCCCATTCACAAACAAAGCCACTCATCACACACTATAAAAACAGAAGACGTGAAGCACCTGTCCTACATTTAGTCTATTTCTAGTTTTTTCTTGTTTTAGAATGGATAGTTTGGCTCTTTTTACCCTCATGTTTCAATGTCTTTGTGTCCTAGTACTTTTACCCCCTCTCTTTTATTGTTTGTTAAAAAGGCTATGATTTAAATAAGAATGCATAAATGCTGGCTTGGTTATGACAAACTGATATGTTTAAAGTCTAGACCAAATGTTATTAAAGGCATATTTTATTGTGAATTATAGAYAAACATGCATGAAAATGGTATTCATATTTATCATTTTTTTACTCTGGGAAAAAAAGCAAGAGGAAAGCTCCGAGTGATGGGTTCGCTGATAAGTCTGTCTATGTTACATGTGTGCTAAAGCTCTGAGAGAAAACATGATGTGTCTAATACTCCTCTCACCCATTGTCCGTCATCATAGAGGTTCATTAAAACTGACAACAGCAAGGCTTTTTCAGGCTTTCAGACCTTGTCAAAACCTCTTTTTTCACCACAAATCATTGAGATGGATGTTTCATCCTCACACATAATTCATCATCTGCTTGAATGWCTTTCTCTAGATTGCCTGCTTTTTTACCCAGAATACTGCATAATTTGATTAGACTGTTATTGTCAAGTCAAAAAAAGTTATATTTTTTTGGTGTTCTCACTTTTAATTTTTATCAAAATAAAACCATCTTCCTGTTTGAAAGCAGTATAATACAGAAGAACAATTATTGCAAAGAAAAACGGAATATTTCTCCAAATACTTAGGGTTTTTGTGTGAAATGTATATGAGAGATTATTGTCTTCATAAAATTTGTCAGAGCATCTTACTAAAGCTGTGCTGTTGTTTTGTTGGATTAATTAGCTTTTGTGAATATATACTGTACATACATTATATTACCCAAGAATAAAAAGAAAAACTCAAACAAAAAAAGAAAAGTTGAGCAGATAAAAAAATTGAAACGAGGAGGAGAAGATAGAAGACTGTAAATATGTATGAAATGTAAGCAAACTGAACTAGATGGCTCTCGATGTAATAATATGCATGTTTGCACACAGTTCAATCTACAAAGCAGATTCATTTACACAACAAAACACAAAATAATGGCTCTTTATGCCTTGTAATATTCAGTTCAGGTCCTTTGATAGACTGCTACTTTGTAGGTTCAGATCATTTAGTAGTTATCTTAAAGCTTTTTTCTTCTTTTTTAAATTCAATTAATTAGAATGTTTGCAGTTTGTTGGAAAACCTCTAGAAGTTCAGAATAAATTTGAACAATAAAGCTTTTTGTGTTTTTTTTTTTCATTTCCAGTAAAATGTTACATATTTCACATTCCAGTCTTGTCACCAACAATAACTTACATTATGGATGTGTCGCTTCAAAKGCTAAAATAGAGGAAGTCAGCCTTTTGGAACAAGAATCAAATTTCCTGTCTGACAGCATTCCAACAAATGTAGAATGGTGCTTTTGAAAATCAGTAACCATTCATTTATTTTCTGATTGCAAAAATGAAAAAAGAAAAAAATATATATTTTATTTACAAGGTCATTAATTCATACTCTTTATTTCTGTCCTAACTATATGCAATGCTACATCACTCCTAAACTTTCTTTGTCTGAATAAATGCATAGATATTTAAATATCTCAGTTTGGGTAGGCGTGGCTCAGTTTACAGTAGATACATTTATAGATGAATATGTTGCATGTGTCAGTCCTTCTTCCCTGATGCTCGTTATCACTAACTGGCTAAATAAATAAATAAAAATAATCATCTAATTAAGATGGACGGAAGTAAAGAATGTAAGAGTCAGGTGCAAAGAAAGTATAAAGGCAGAAGAATAAACCCAAACATGGGGAGAAGTAGAATGCGGGAGCAGCTATCAAAGTTAAAGAAAAATGGAAAAGAAAAAAGTCCTGAAAAACAAAGTATATTTGTCCTCCTAAGGGATACAGAGAAAGTAAGATAAAAGGAGGGATTGATAGAGACAGAGATAGTTTATGAATCCTAAAGGAAATCCAGATCTGCAAGGGAGATTTGTCTTCRAAAACGAGCTGAATTTGCTTCAAGCCAGTCTTTGGTCTGTGAATGTAATGGTGCTATATTTTGTTCTCTTTCAAGAAATCATAGACAAAATCCTGCTTTTCTGGCTTATGTGAGCATTGCAGACAAAGTAAAGAGTCTTGGACACTGGTTGGACACTGAGGATTCTAAATTTGGTAACTGCATGAACCATAGAAAATAAATAGTTTTGTATGTGTTTTAGCAAACTGTGGACATTTAGAAGTGCAAGTATTTTTTTAGGTCATTCACAAAAGAGATGACTGCTGGAAAAGATTCATCATCTAGAAGCAAAAAAAAAGTTTGTTTGCAAAGAGCATTCTTTAATGTGTGAATACTTTTTGGAGGAAGCATTTTACTTTAGTCTGGAAGAAAATAACTTATTATTTTCTATGTACAACCAACAGAATCACTCCTGGTTGTAGGATGTTTTTGTTAAATAATAATAATCAGAGAGGGGGTAAAAKGTGAATGGTATCAAGGAGAAGAAAAGATTAGAAGAGTAGGTGATAAAACTTGAAAACAAACCAATCTGGAGTTAAACATTTAGGGAAAAAAAGGTGAAAAGTGTATATTACAGGTAAATTATTATTAGTATAAATGCATTACCTGTAAATGATGCAGGCTGTCTTCTGGCAGGTGGGACAGTTGTTTATGTCTTGACCAGTTCTGTATGAGCTGCGACTGCAGAAACAACAAACACAGACATTCACACACCCTTGCAAAAGAAGTTTGAACAGAGATGTGTATCATAATCCAAACTGCATGTCTCATTTTATTGCAGTGTTTTTTATTAGCTGTGGTGTGCAGCGCTTATCCAAAAATTAGCTCCGCAATTTCTAAAGTGCTTTTGAAAATATTTAGGTCTGCAACCTCAAAAGCGCTTGTGCCATAGAAAAACTAGCGGAAGCTAATTTTAAAGTGCAAGTTCAATTTGACACTTATTAGCTRGCAATAATTCATCKACARTATATGCACAATACTGCCAACTAGCAGTGTATGAACTCTTTTACAACTTAATCCTACAACTGCCGATTGCTGGGGATGTGATTTCATGAAACASACCTTTGGCTCCTGGTGTAAAAATTAAAATGTTGTTGAGGATTGCTAGTTCGACTGCTTCTTTGTCTTTTTCTTTTGTTTGTTGTAGATTTTTCATTAAAGAAGCATCAATAAAGTAATTTTAAAACAGTTCATTGGAAAACTGAAGCGATGCATTCTGGGTACATGACGGATTTGATTTGTGAGGGGAAACGAAAGCACAGAGTACAGGAAACTTTGTTCACTTCAAAATAAGAGCTTGGATTTTAAAGTTTTCCCTGCAGTTGCTCCAGTTGTCCACTAGATGTCTGTCTTCATTAGCATAACATCTTTAAATGATTTCTGCGTCTCTAACCCCGATGGCCGATTGCTTCGACCTATTACGTCAAGTATTGAGCTCCAGCATTTAAACTCTATTTTTTTTAAAAGGAGCTCCGATTGTAAAGTAAAATAAATCAATACATACAAAATTTTAGTATGGATTACAAACATCTGTTTTTTTCTGGGACAGGGAGTTCTAAGCATTGCCTTCCTGCTACGTAAGCAGACACAAAGCATCGTGGGAAATCAACAGTCAGCAATGACGTATACCTTTACAAAAGTGTTTTTATCTGGGAGGGGTGYTGTTGGATAGATCACGTGTGTTGTGATTCATTGACAGCCATACCTTCTGCTGTTCAAGATAATGATGACTGGTAGATAATTACTAGTTATTAGCAATACTGCATTTTATTTTTTGAAAGTGCAAATCCGCTTATGAATTATAAAAATTAGTAAGACCGTTAAAGTGCAAACAAAATATTTAGGTCCGCAATTAGCGGATTTGTGCTTTAGCGGGCTGGTGCCCACCATTGTTTACACTGTTTATTGGGTATATAGAATGTGAACATTTGTTTTGTGATTACTGCTTTCTTATAGCTGATAGTATTGATTTATACGTGTTAACTTATTTACAATAGACTTGAATTTTGGGCAGTTATTTATTTATTTTTGTTGATGAGCAGATTCTGTTTGTCTCAACTGCTGCTGTCACAACTATTATTGTGTCCTCTGCTAACCCATACTTACTGCAGAATAATTATAGGCTGCTCATTGAGTTGTCAAACAACACAAAAATGTTTGTGATGTTAAATACAAATTTGGCTTCCTATCAGGACTATTTTGGACATTTCCATAATTGTCCCTGTAGATAACTGGCTATACTCCCAGGGAGGTGAAATCAATGTTTGCAGCAACTGATTAGGTAGCCCTTGCGAGGAGCCAAACGGTGTAATTAACATTTAACAAAAAAAAAAAGTTCTAAGATCTGTTCACATAGATTCAAACTAATTTTATGCATATTTAGAATTTGTCATATAAACTTGCTGAATTCTGTTCAAAGCATTAAATTAATTTATTTTATTATATTTAATAAATTTAATCATAAAATCATAATGTATGTTATTGCAYATCTATTTTACTTTTCATTTTCTGTATTCTAACAATGCTGATTTCCCCAAAAAGCAGCTTTCAGTCATTTATTATTATATTTTTCTTTCATGTAAAAGCAGCCCAGTAAGACCACTTTTTAATCATGGTTTCTTTAAAGCACCACTAGTTTGATGCAGAAAATAAATACATGCTCTGTCACTTCAGAGATCCCCCAAACACAACACTCTTTCTGTCCTTATTGATTGCACTCGTTTGAATTTTTACTCTTAGCACAATCATTGCTTGAAGCAGGTTGGTGAAACTGATATTTTAAGTTTCCTTTCTTCAGAAACAATTCAGTTTGATAAATGTAAAAAAAAAACCTTAAGTTTTTACTTTAAATATCACACAAACAAGACTATAACAACAAATGGAGCTGAAATAAGTTGAGTGCTTGATGGCTACCATTTAATTAGAACGTTGCTTTGTAAAGACATTCTGGTTGGCCTTTTATTGAACTGCTAAGATAAGAAAATAACTGTTTTATGTTGATAAAATTGACATTTTAATTTCCCTCATGCAGAGAAACCGTGTGAGAGGCATCATTCACTTTGTCTCCCACTAATCTTTATCACAGACAAAAGCAACAACAAAGACAAGTGTTTTCTTTAAAAAAAATTGCAACAACCTTTTAGCTCAGCTGATGTTTTTATCACACCAGCCCACTTGGAGTACTTTCATTTTTGGCTCAACAACAGATACACACTGTCTATTTAAAGTGAGGCTTCTTCTCACTCTTATGTCTTTAGATTTTTCTGTTTTTATTTCCTGCCTTCACTTTTCTCAAACACTCAGCAAGAGACATAAGTGGTCCCCCAACCAGCGTACACCCACAGACACACCCCAAAAGGATGAAGATGTGGAATCAGACAAGACGAGCAAAACAGCTTAAACGTTCAGTTCAGGAGTYGTCTTGTGCATCTTAATCATTAATTGCAGAGTAATCTGGATTAGTCTTGAGCAAGAGACAGCTGTTTCCCCCACACACACAAAAGAGACAAATAAAGGAGAGTAAAATCATGCGGAGAGATGAAGATGTAACAGCTTCATCAGTTTAATGAAGCTGAGCAGAAAGGGAAATGTTGACACTTGAAGAGCTATAATTTAGAAGCAAAAAGTTAAAAGATAATCAGAAAAAAGTGACTTTATAAGATATACTTCATTTAATTTCTCAAKCTTGCTTTATGTATTTCTTTAAGTTCAAAATGTTTACCATACARATGACACACAACCTTACATAAGATTCCCATTTAATTTTCATCCCTCAGTCACTATATACAGTGGGGTGCGAAAGTTTGGGCAGCCTTGTTAATTTTCCTGATTTWCCTTTATAAATCATTGATTGTTTGGATAAAAATATCAGTTAAATACATCATATAGGGGACAAACACAGTGATATTTGAGAAGTGAAATGAATTTTATATGATTTACAGCAAGTGTGCAATAATTGGTTAAACAAAAATAGGCAGGTGCATAAATTTGGGCTCCATAAAAAACCTTATCCAAATATTTAGTAGATCCTCCTTTCACAGAAATAACAGCCTCTAAATGATTCCTATAGCTTCTAATGAGAGTCTGGATTGTGGCCGAAGGTATTTTAGATCATTCTTCTTTACAAAACATCTCTAGTTCATTCAGATTTGATGGTTTCTGAGAATGGACAGCTCTTTTTAGTGACACCACAGATTTTCAATAATGCTCAGGTCTGGGGACTGAGATGGCCATTCCAGAACGTTGTACTTGTTTCTCTGCATGAATGCCTTAGTCGATTTTGAGGAGTGTTTAGGGTCGTTGTCTTGTTGGAAGATCCAGCCCCAGCACAGCTTCAGCTTTGCCACTGATTCCTGGACATTGGTCTCCAGAATCTGCTGACGTTGATTGGAATCCATGCGTCCCTCAACTTTATTAAGATTCCCAGTCCCCGTACTGGCCACAAAGCCCCACACCATGATGGAACCACCACCAAATTTTACTGTAGGCAGCAGGTGTTTTTTCTTGGAGTGTTGTATTCTTTTTCCTCCACGCATAACGGCCCTTGTGTCCAAATAACTCTATATTAGTTTCATCAGTCCACAGCACCTTATTCCAAAATAGAGCTGGCTTGGCCAAATGTGCTTTAGCACACCTCAAGCAGCTCTGTTTGTGATRTGGGCGGAGAAAAGGCTTCCTCTGCATCACTCTCCCATACAGCATCTCCTTGTGTAAAGTGTGCTGAATAGTTGAACGATGCACAGTGACTCCATCAGCAGCAAGATGATGTTGTAGGTCTTTGGTGCTGGTCTGTGGGTTTACTCTGTTCTCAACATCCTTCACTTCTGTTTATTCCAGATTTTTCTTGGTCTGCCACTTCGATCCTTGACTTGAACTGTGCCTGTGGTCCTCCATTTTCTCACAATGTTTCTCACAGTGGAGACTGAAAGCTGAAATCTCTGGGATAGCTTTTCTGTATCCTTCCCCTAAGCCATGACAGTGAAGAATCTTTGTTTTCAGCTCATTTGAAAGTTGTTTTGAGACTCCCATGCTGCAACTCTTTAGAGAAGCTGCAAAGAGGAAAAAAACTCACAATTCCCCCCCCTTAAATACCCTTTCTCATAATTGGAGTCACCTGTTTATGGAGGTCAAGGGTCACTGAACTTACCAAACCAAATTTGAGTTCCAATAATTAGTTCTAAAGGTTTTGAAATCAATACAATGACAACAGTGCCTAAATGTATGCACCTGTCTAATTTTGTTTAACTAATTATTGCACACTTTCTATGAATCATATAATCTTAATTTCACTTCTCAAATATCATTGTGTTTGTCCCATATATGACATATTTAGCTGATTTTTTTTATCCAAACAATCAATGATTTACAAAGGTAAATCAGGAAAATTAACAAGACTGCCCAAACTTTCGCACCCCACTGTAAGTGCAGCAAGCAATCTTTTAGATGGAAGCCTCAGAATTCTCTAAAACAAAAGCATTTTTGATTCTAAAATGAAAAATCCAATTAGGGGCTCCAAGAGAGGAAAGAAGAGGTTTTTCTTAAGTGCAACAATGTGACTCACTGTTGTTATTAGCATTCATAGCCTATATTTGGAGGTGTGGAAAGATGGAATAAAGGAGAGGAAAGATATTTACTAGGAGTGTGGCACAGAAAGATGCAAATACGGTGGTAGAGGCAGATGGAATGCTTGAAGCGAGATGCAAAAATATAAAATAAAATAAAAGGSATTAGCAGGARWATAACAAGAAATGCTGACTTTGCATTGGCAGGTGTGTCCCACTGGGAGCAAAATAAAAAGGTAACTAATATAAGRAACAAAGGGAGATATAAAGATTCTAACACTGAGTAAAGGAAACCAGGCATCATAATTCCAAAGGATTGCATCACACACTTGCATACACACAAGCACAATAATTTTCCATGGACCTGAAATTTAAAAAGCTATTACACAAACCCAWATCCCTACCTGTACTGTATACAATGCTATAAAAACTCAAATATACACTTTTCTCTCAATTTTTTGGACTCTCTTGATAATCTCTTTCTTCCCTCTATTTACTCTTTTTATCACTGAAGCTCACTCTTGCTTGAGCAGTGGCTCTTTCAGCTCGTTTTTACTTTTCTCCTATCCTTATCTTCATCTTTTCCTCTTTTCACTATCTGTCTTGGTTTGTGAAGTTATTTATTTTACACTTAATTCTTCTATTTCTTTTTTTCTTGTTTTTTTTCAATCCCCCATTGTA